CACACGAAAACCTCGCTCGAGCGAAGAAAAGCTCGCTCGAGCCAAGAATGCAATGCTTCAGGTCTGCAACCCTGGAGCACGCTCGAGCGACAGAATGCTCGCTCGAGCAAGGAACTCGAAAACAAACACCTCGCTTGCTCGAGCGAAGAAACTCTCGCTTGAGCGAATAAGCACTGCCCTCAGGTCTAAACCAGACGCAGTCGCTCGCTCGAGCGAAGAAAATCTGGATCGAGCCAGAAGACACAAAATACAAACCTCGCTCGAGCGACCAAACCCTGGCTCGAGCGACCAACCCAAAAACTGGACAGCAACATTTGGTTTACGAACCCAACCAACCTGAAACAAACCTGCCCAACACATCCTATAACTCCAAATGAGAAATTAAAGGACGACAACAACAATTATTCAATGACAGAATAACCGGAACCTAAGTCCGGATATTATAATCAAATGGGAAAAGACCGGGGTCGCTATAGTCAGGCAGTCTAAACCCCTATTTTTAAATACCCTTTTTGGCCGAAGTGTATCTCGTTTGGGGCTTATTTTTCTCACTCAAAAACCTAATTTCTCTCCTCCTACTCTCTAGAAATCATCTCCAAAACATTAGAAACTCCTTGATTCTTGTAATTCCTTGGGTTTAGATCACCATCCTCATCCTCTAATCTTGAAGATCAAGGCTAGGGCTTCCTTGGTGTAGGAGAAAGTGAAGGAATCCTCCCTCTTGAAGCTAGGGTTTCATCTCTAATTCATCATCAACCTTTGAGGTAGGGTTTTCTTTAAGTTATATGTGTGTTTATGCAAGTTTTTGTTGATTTTTGTGAAACCCTCTATGTATTTCGAAAATGGAGCCTAGGGCTCAAGAAATTGTTGATTTTTGCTTAAAGAAAAACTCATCTCATCTTCTTTTAAAGAATATTTGAGAAGTGTGGAACCTTGTAGATTGAGATTGATATGTATGGGGAGAGTTCATAAAGAAGATGAAAAATGTTTAGATTTTGTGATAACCTAGAAATTGGGGCTTTTTGTGAAAACATGGAAATCCATGGAGTAAACATCTTTTCTTGTGTTTAAATGGGTGTGTGAGCGTGGGTTTCACAATGTAGTAGAAAAAGGGAAGTTGATAATCCTCTTGATGTAGAGGGTAGAGGGCTTATTTTCAAAACTATTACTAAGAGCATAAGAATATATATTTTGTGATATGATAATTGTTGAGTATCATGGATTGGAGGATTGAAATCTTGAAAGTTGATATTGAAAATTTCTTATAATCTTGATACGCGTTGAATGCCAAGAATTATATATGATGAGAAGTTATTTCCATATTGATAGTTTTGGTAGTGCATGTGAATATTTTGTGTGATTAGCATTGGAAGAAAGGGAATGAAAGAGGAGTTATGGTATATCATTTGTTGCATCATCTCCTCATGTGAATTTTGTCATCCTTATACATCTTGACATGAGTTTTGGAAAAACATTTGCATTGAGAAAGGTTATATGGTAATGAGAACTATAAGAACGTTAAAGGGGTAAATACGTGTTAAGTCCGGATTGGGGATGTAGTTGTATTTGATAACATGACCTGAGTGTCTTTGGTGAAAGACTAGAAAACCGCGCGGATAGGTGTCGAGCCTTCCGGTTAATGCCGGTAA